AGCACAACTTATATAAGAGTAAGTCAATAAGCAACATACAAACAACAGATCAGACTGTATTCAAAAGACAATCTATTGTGCACCCACACGGAGACAGAAAAACTGACAGAGCCAATTGAGTTACAGTTAACATTTCCTTTATTTCAGTATAAGAATTCCTGAACTGAGTGAAGAATGGTATTTTGGCCCATACTGCTAGACTAGATAAATTCTTTAAGTATGCGGTGCCACAAGTGTACACAGTACTATAATAGCAAAAAAAGACGGCCTGGGACAAGTTTCATTTTTATTATTAGCAGGAGTTAAGACGTTTCAGATAAGGATATTATGCATTTCTGAATTTGCCTGGAAAGTTAATTAAAACTCTGAGAACATTTTAAAACATTATAAAATTGCCTACAAATACTCATGATACTTTGGTAGGGGATGTGGAATAAAAACCTACACCATGTAAACATTCAGTAAACAGATTCTCTGCACTCTGAAGCCTAAGTAATACACAAGATGAGAATAATTACATAAGAAACTTAATTTTCTACACAGAACGTGCTGCCAAAGAACAAGAGTCAAGCCTAGAACTTTTTTCCATGTGAAAGCAGAAGCATTGTAATAAAATTGTATGATCTGGTGGGCAGTGCAGGTCTTTCAATTGTTAGAGGCTTTAGCAGAGGTTTAGCAAGAAACAAGTCCAGTTACTTGCAGTGTTCCACAAAAACATACCCCTGACTGCTTACTGGTGCTTTGTAACAGGGGGAGAAAAAAAAAAAAAGCTATAGGCATACAGAAACAAACACAGGAAACAACTGTCTGCTAAGTCAGAGGATTTCAAGTGGCACTAGATATTAAATTATCCTTAAGTATTGTTTTGAAGAGAAAATTATCTTCGATGGAAGCTAGAATGAAATGCTGGAAGCACACTGATTTTGTTTAACAACCTGCAAGGTTAGCTTCAACTATTTTTTCTTTAGAGCAGTAGTTTGTTTAACATAACATGAATTCCTTCCTTCCTTCCTGTTTTTAGGCTCTCAAAGACAGTTATTTTTGCCTTCAGTAAGCGTGCCTAGAATATTTTAGTTGTATACTGTAGTACAACTACACTCCAGTGTTGATAAATGGAGCTAACATACTTTTTTAGGTGCAAGTTGTACATGTCTCATGACTGCCGCCTTAATCAAATACCTTACCTTGTAAAATTGTATGCGTTTTCTCCATTGTGTATACATGCTAATACCCATTAAAAAAATGCAGATAAAACAAATCTGCCTCAAATTGGTAATGAGAAAAAAAAGATACTGTTTAATATGCAGAGAAAGAGCAAAACAAAGCCTTGCATTATTATAACTTGCATTATTAGACCTTGGAAACACAAGAAGTTGTAGCTATAACCAGCAACTGATCTTGTTTTGACACTGGATGTTACAGACAGAAGAAAGAATTCCCTCTAGGGAAGATACAAGGAACTTACAATAAAAGCAACACTTTGAAAATCTTTCACAGGCTTCTTTAAACTGCCATCTGCTGGTCAGCTCATAGTTCATGAGGGTATGATGAATGACAGACTAGCTAAGAATTTAGAGTATTACATGTTCTTTATTTTGTCCTCTCTTAGAAAAAAATTACAATTTCTTTGACAAAGTTCAGAAGTAGTATCTAGACTCTGCAGGATACTATGAGACTTATCTGCTGTCAACAAATCCATCCAATTTAATGAAGCCAGCCAATAACCACAAAAATTGATTGAAAAGCTAGAGCAGATACGTTTCACGCAAACACACAAAGTGTGCCAATAATCCAGCAGTAATGGTAATGTAAAGCCTTTTTTATTTATTAAAAAAATACTGGTTACACTCTACTGGCACCTACTACATTATTGGGGGGTGGAGGGCCAAGGTAAAAAAAGAAACAAGAATACACCACCTGTATCTCTTCTCACAAATATCATGAGTTTTTGTATGGTTACACCAAGTCTTACACAGGCAGTAAAAAAACTACTCTGAGCTTTTGCAGACTCTGAAGTGTTGAGTCTCTTCTTCACATCTAGCCCTACCAGTTGCTCATTAAGAACTAGATTTTAAACAAAACCATATTTCACATGAAGTACTGGAGGAAATGACTACTGATGTCAAGTGCCTAGAAGTAAAATTAAGTATTTTGTTTCAAGATTAAATGCAGGTATGAAATTTATTCATTCATATATAAACACCTTTCTGCTTCTGTCCATCCATCTTAAAACAACTTCAAAACCCAATTTTTTGAAGGGAGTGAAAGCCTACCTTTTAATCTCTGGTATGTCAGGTCTATAGATGTTTGTTTGTTCTTAAGGCAGAAGTCCACACCCCCACCCCTGTCTCTCTCCTCTGTAAATTACATACCCAAAATAACTTGTCAATTGAAAATTTGGCCTCGACTAATTTTATAATATTTCAAGTAAACACCATTAACAAAATACTCCCAGTAACAACAAAAAGCATCCAAAATATTTTTTTTAAATGTCAAATAAGATGCATTTTTCAAACAAGAAAAAAATGAGCACATGTTCCTACTGAACACACCTTTCCTAGAACTTAGTTGCAATGGACTCAATTTAAGAGGTGTGCAGCTAGGCACAGTCCTTGACAAATAACAGTCATATCCAGGCTCCATTCTGGAACCATCTGTCCACAAACAGCGGGGGGCGGGGAGGGTGGGGAAGAAAGGAGGGGATAAAAAAAAAGAAGTCCAGAATCCACTTAGTATTGCTTGTGGAGGTGTATGTGCTTGTGGAATACGCAGAATTTTTTCTATCTTTGTTAAGAGAGCATCTAAGCCAACACTTAGAAGTATTATAGTAAACACAGAAATATAAAAGTTAATCAGTAAGTGTATTTAATGTTGAGAAGAATTACATCCTATTCAATTAGCCGTGTGAGGCTTTCATCATTGCATGATTGTGTTTATTTTTTAAATTCTTTCCCTTAACACTCTGGAGAAGGTTTCTCTCTGGATGAACACTCTCGGGGCACACACATATTTAGTCATTTAGACAAGTGCTAAATGATAATACAAAAGGGAGAAAAGTTTTTAAAGCCACCCATACAATCTAAAGTTTTTATCTTTCCTTGTTTTGTAGAATAGATCAATAGTAAGTTCAGAAAGACATGCCTGGTATCTTTGTTTTATGTAAAGGCAAAATATATCCAGTATCATAGGAAACAAACTGGGTCCAATCCTTAGTTGGTACAAGTTCAGCTCAGTGACACTTTAAACCATCTAAGGATCTAGCCCAACTAATCTACACCCCTCTGCACCCAGTCCTGCAAAATCTCTGTTACTTGACAGGGTATATTTTCTGTTATGTCGGCTGGGATTGTTTTAATATGCTAACACATATTAAAGGGTTTAAAAGAAAAACCCTTGAAAACAATTCACTTTCTAGTTTGTGTATCTGTGTTCTGTGAGCAGTGTATGATGTTAATTTTTCTCACATCTTTTGCTGTTTAGCAGTAGCTGATTAAATTAAGAGCCAAGTTTTAAGATTTCCATCTCAGCCTATATAACCATTTTTACATGTGAACCGTTCAAGTCACAACCCAAAATCCTACAAGTATGAGCCATTTGTCGAGAAAGATTTCTGGAGATTTCATTTTATAAACACAGTATATGTAGAAATAAAAGAATCTTTCTCCTGAGATTACAATATTTAGAGATGCATATTTAGAGACAAAAAAGACAGTAAGTTCCTTAAACTGGTCTAGCTGAATAGATGGTCCCAAACACAAACAGCCACTACTCAGCAAGTCCCAGAAGTAAAGCAAAAGCAGCAGAAGCTGGTAAGCCAACACATGGGAGTCTCTCAACTGAGAGAACAAAATGAGAACAAGAATTACTTTACTTGACTGCTGCCATGGACATTATTTCCTGTGGGACTTCCTTTTCTTGTTTTATTGGGGTACAGGAGGGAGAATTTGTTGGGTTTTTTTGTTAAAATATTTTTCCAGTTACAGTGAGATATACAGCCATTAACATGCAATCTTTTTTCCCCACCCAAAGGTAAACCATTTACTGAACACTGTCTAAACATTTTAACTGTATTCATTATAGTGTCTAAGCACCTCATGCGTTTGTTAGGGGAGATTAAAAAGTCTCTAGGATAGCTGGAAGCTTTACTCCCTTGTTAGCAGGCGAGTATTTTCTCTACAGCTTCTGTAATACAAACTGCTTGCAGCTGTTTGTCTATGGATGTCTTACTTAATCCTACCAACTACATTTCTGAATCCACCTGCAAAACAGCATGCATACTTCACCCTCATGCTGCCACTCTTTGGCTGATTGGTTTTAATAGTGTAGATGACTTGGGGAATGGTTTAATGGATTGTATGAACACACTTCTAGTACATACATTTCATTTATTGTATGTAATTGAGAAGAACTACAGTTCCAAATATGCAGAGCTAAGACTATGATTAGTAAGTATCAAAAAGATACATCCTTCACTGCCTTTTTAACTCTACTGGGGATGAAGCTATTTGCATCACAGAGAAATAGCACCTGAACAGCCTGAAAACTAATTTGAGTTTAAAGGAGCTCTGCTCAGAAAACTGTCCAGTTCTAGATCAAACAGAGGATTAGGAAACTTGCTTCAATATAAAAGCTATGGCAGCATGACAATATTGAGTTACATAATGTAACTAATGTAGTACACTTACATAAAGTCTGTAGAAGAAAATACAGAACACACTGGCATTTTACTTTGCCTCTAATAGAAGGTTACAATTCTAAAACTTTGTTGGTAAATACATTAAAAACCACAATAATATCTCAACGTCCCCAAATCAGACGTTCGTATTACAATAAATGAATTTGCAATGCACACATTAACAGGTTTCACAGAGGCCAAAACTGTAACTTGTCTAGAGCACCAACGTTAGAGAATTCGCCTTTGATTTTTGTTTTTAAACAAGATTCACACCTGAAAATTTCTGTAATTAAATGGCTGTGTGCAAACACCACTTTTTTTTTACCTCATTCTCAGTTAAGGAAGCTGAAGGAGATGAACTCTTGCTAAAAGCAAGAGTTGAAGATTCTGCTGCTGAAGCCCGATTTCGCTTCTTCAGAGGTTTACATGCATCAGACAGATTTTTCGTTGCTGTAAAATAATTTTGGTTTACAAAGTGAAGTTTGGAACTTTAAAACGTTATCTCCCTGAAGCCATTTAAAATATTCCTTCAGATAAAGGAAGGAATGATTTAGGTAGGTCTTCTGGGCACATACGTAGGGCTGAGGGAACACAAAGTAAGTTTCTGAAACCATGTGTTTTGGCTTGATTTTAAAAATGGAGAGGTTTCTGTTAATCAAGTATGTACTACAAATGACTAAGAAACGTTTTCCCATTTTTTTCCGGCTCATTTCTATTAAAATCAAAATATCTTGTGACTTATGACCACTTTAAAGCAGAGGTAACAGTTATCTCCTCAGATAAACATTAGAAGGCCTACATGATCTCATCACAATCTGAGTACCACTAACACTTTGTTAAGAGAAAGGTTATATACAGGAGCCAGGTACCAGACATTATCTATGGCATGTCACCACTTCTACATTGCGCAGAACTTGCTGAAGCTTACTCATCTTTGGCATATCATTATAATACCTAGAGACATGCTCTTACAGAAGTTACGTTAAGCTTGAGCATCATTAACAAGCCTGACATTTGGATTTTGGTCCAAGGTTATTTAAAATTCCCTCTCACGCTCCACACTGCCTCCCATCAAGCATCATTTAAAAGGACTAAAATCACATAGTAACTGATTGCATCGATGGTCACTGCACTTATTTTATTGGGCTAATGCACAATGACAAACTGGAGCAGTAGCATCTGTATCACTGCTCGCCATAATCACAGGGCAATAGCTTTAATTTGGTGCCATCAAATGGTGAACTTGTGAACTGCTGCTCTAAATCAGCAATACACAATTTCAGTCAATTATAATGTTGCAAAATGGTGGTAGTGAAGGAAGAGGGCACACTCCCCCCCACAACTGTGGCACAGTGGACGTAACTGGTTATTGCGTCAGCAAAATTTAGCCGGCTGCCTCAGACAACCTGTTTATTTTAAAATTATTTAATTGAAAAAGTTACATTAAAACTTATTCTGACCACATTACCTGACTGGTTCTTTTGTGAAGAGGAGGTTTCTGTGACCTTAGAAGAGTTTGTTTTTGCTGTTTTGTCATTGCTTGTCTCCCTCTGTCACAAAAAAAAATATGAAAAAAAAAATAAAAAAACTCCTAATTTATGAGTGGTTGGATAAAACTGGCAATTAATTCTGGATTTATGTTATTAAAAAGAAAGTGTCTTTACAAATACCTGAATGGTAATGTAGTTAAGCTAGCCCCATTTAAGTGATTTTTAAAACTTCGTTACAGCACAGGGTACAAACCCGTAAACAAATGAGAAAAATTTAAAGAACACAGTATTCCAGCATCCCACTTATCCATCCCAAACTCAGCATATCAAAGAGGGGAGCTCTAAATGAGCACGAAACATGTAAATTATCCTTACTATTCTTTGTCTAAACTGGTCAAATTAAAACCTTTAATTATTAAAGGTAAACTCCAGAATTAGTATATAAATTTCAGAATAAATTCTGTGCAGAATTTTAAGTCTCAGAGAGGCTTGCTTTCAACTTCACAACTTATAGCAGTGCCATTTTTTCAATTACTATGGTTAAGGTTGTTTCAGCATTTCCAAAATAAAAACACTATTTTCAAGGGAGCATAAACAACACATAAATTTGCTCCAGATTGAGAATTTATCATTAAAAGTTTAGGCCAAAAACTGGGGAAATTTTTGTAAAAGCTTTGTCAATATTAGACACTATTCCTTACACATACCACTATTTTTTTTCTTTTTGTATGTTACAAATTCATTCAAGTAGTAAGTCACTAAAATTGTAGCCAAGAATGCTTAACCCTGACAAATGCTCACTGACCAATAAGCATAATTCTGCTAAACAGGAGGTTTTACATACTTTTTCATATTCTTCATCTGACATTCCGTTTTACATAAGATATGCAGGTCAAAGGCCAGAGAACTGGTTTCCTTTGTAAAAATAAATATGAATGGCTACTGTACTATAGATGTGCTATACTGTGCTTTTACTGACTTCTAAGTAGACTAAGACGCCCTACCACCGATGCCACCAGAGGCTCCCAGTATCAGTTTTGTAAGATTACTGTTACACTTCTGTGCAAAAATGAAAGAAAATGTACAGTATAGTTCACTTTAAATTTAAAGCATGCTTTACAGAACCCCCATTTTGTTAATGTGCATTTTATATACATCATGAAAGCACCAATGAACGAACTAGTTTTTCAAAACTTCCATATGGGTACTTATAAGGACTTAGTCACTTTGTGCGAAAACATTCATATTTCACAAATAAGAATTGAGAACAAAAAGGAGAGGATTACGCACAACACTCATGCAAGAAGTAAAATGTCATGAAAAAAAGTCATTAAAGCTCCTCCTATCCAAAATAATTGTAACAAAAGCCTGCAGGTAAACTGGGAATAGCAGAAGGAAGGTGTACGGTTAGTGTTTGTGTTTTTCATCATTACATAGACATTTTCACTGTCATTCACTAAATGTTTTACTAAGCAGCAGCACATACAGCTTGAAGTACCCTGGGCTGGTGAAGGCAGGAAAAAGACTAAGAGATAATTCATAAAAGAAACCACAACGCAACCAATCTACAATATCTGACCCTTCTGTGGACGGAAGGACAAACACTGCTACGTGCATTTAGATATTCCAAATTACCTAATATTTACACACACCAGATTACTTGTAACTAGTTCTGATAAACAGATCAGATAGAAGACAACACTTATTAAATGCACTAAGTCAGCGTTATTAGTGGTATGTATCTTATGGGAATCATTAATCTCATTTATGTATTTATTTTCCTGTTAATATTCACATCTGCATTACAGCATCAAAAATACCAGAATCTCCTCCACATGACCTATACTGCAACCACCTTTCATTCTACTTGTGATAATGTAGGCTAATTGTAGCATATGAATGCTGGTGGGACAGTAAAGAAGTAACTTTAGGGACAGTCAAAACAAGGATTTCATAGCAGGAATTAATTACAATAAGCAAACTTAATTATTCCATGGATCTAGTGTACTATAGTAAATTCAAATCAAGTTTAAAGAGGGTCCAAAATCTTCTACTAGAATATCAGACGAATATTCAACAACTAACCCGTTAGAGTCAAAAGTGCAAAACCCGGTTTTGGCCCTTCTTTCTGCAAAGGTAACAACATTTCTTTAAGAAGTATCTTTGTCCCTTGCTAATAAGCTCATCAAGCCTGGCTATCTGAAATGCTGTATTTTTTTATATTGAACTCCAAACAAGTTGCCTGGATATCCGCAATATCAACAGAGGTACTAAAATAACTAGCCTACCAAACAGACTGACACCTACAAATGTAACCTCCCTCATTAATTTAAAAAATAAATCCACTACCTTTCCTTATATTACGTTGTTTCATTTAATCACTGTACCACTAAAGTTCTGAGATGAGGTCTGCAATACTCACACTACAGTATGATACTCTCATAACATACCTGAAACACTTGTGAGCTAAGCTTTCCACACAAGTAAAACCCATGAACTTCACTGGTCTGCATGCATGACTAAATAAACCTATGTTTAAATCTCAACAAGATTTGGGCTGTATCCATATACATAGTTTTAGCGACCTACGTAAGGAAAATTCTCATTCTCACAAGCAAGCAAAACTGAAAAGGAGCCTGTGATTTGTGCAATAAATATACTGTCATATTTACTGCAGTTTCCTAACTTAAGAAATGGGTCAGCATGCCACTAAAATGTTCTATATGTTTCCAGTTCTTGAAAAGTAGTTCTTCTGGCTTTCTGGCTTGCTTTACTTGCTTTCCCCTCTCCTCCCACTTTTGTCTAAATTGTATTGACTGAAGACTTTTTTTTTTTTTAATATTCTTGTATACGTCTCTGAACTCCAATTCAGGAGGAAAGAAAAAGAACTACAAAGCATGACAACACAGAAAGGTCATGCCTCTGCACATTCCTTCGGGAAACAGATCTTCTCAGCACATATTTTCACCATAGTTTAAATAGCAAGTGCAACTTGTCATACCTCCATCCTCAAAATCCAAGGAAAAAAAAACCCACAGCGAGAAGCTCACATGTATCTCTGAATATCTAAAACCGTTTGGATGATATAAAGACATTACTTTTTTAATCCTGAAAACGGAAATGCTGACAAACTTAACTACAGCAATGTGATTGGTGCTGCTATAAATCAACCCAAACAAACCAACAATATAATTACCTTCCGATTATTCTGTTTATCCATCCTGAGTCTTTTCCTAGGTGCTTCCTGAACTTCAAAATCTTCTGTAGGTTCCTTTGTCCTCTTTTTTTGGTTTCTTTTATTTCCATGTAAGTTACCTTGGGATGGGGGATGGGGGAAACTTACATGAAAAATAATCTAAAACCCACTTTCAAATTATTTTGAACTGGTCTAGTTATTTAAGTTACTTTTCTTTCAGTCATTAGTTTTTAAAACATGGTTAAACATTAACACAGTTTGATGACCTCTTAATGCTTAAAGGTCTGGTTTCTGGTGCTGAAAACTAACTCTAGAACACATCCAAATCAACTGCTTCAAACTCAAGTTATTTTAGAAAGATGAGTCTATCTGTATAAGCACTAGTTTAAGATCTGAATATTACTGCCCAACATTTGTTTCCTATCGTCAGACTGCATGTGACTGATCTATACAGCTTTTAACTCTTCCGCCACTTTGTCACAGTGTCTTTATCACTGAAATGAATTTTTAAGTCCCCTCCTTAAGTCTCCTTTATGTTCTCCAAATGATACAGATGAAGATACTGGAGACATCTATAAAGGGGCCTCTGGAAAAGACAAGGTATCACCAACCGTACAGATTAATTCTGTCTTTCTGGTATGGCAGTTCCAGATTCTAACAAGCTACTTATATTTTACAGGAGACCATAAGATCCCCTTCCTTTGTGAACCAAAATCCCAAGAACAGAATCACATTGGTCATTTTAAACCAACGGACTTATTCACGTATTTAGATGATCGTTCACTGTAAAGTTCAAGCAGCTGCTAAATTACAAAAGGTTGGTGACTAACCTACATAACCCTTCCACAAGTTCAGCTATTGTTTGCACTCGCTCTACCTCAAAAAGACAGATGAAGCTTTAGGAAGTGGTATGTTTCATCAGGATGAAATAACAACATTATTCCAGTACTCTCTAGTTTATGAAGCTACAGAGTATTATTAGTACGAAGATTGCAAGCTCAAGGGGCACAAATATGTTAACTGAAAATTGCCCTACAGCTACAAGCATTCTATTCCAGTGGGAACAAATAGCTTTAAATATTAAAAATATAGCAACTTGAAAATATGGATAATTTAAAAATTAATGTTCTTACTAAACAATCTAGGACATGTTCTATTATCAGACTCTGAATCCACAAAGCGGACTGAAATGGCTCCAGGAGAACCTGCTACTTACAAAAAGCCAGCAAAAGAAATCCCACAATATTCTTCCAAGTTTTAAGATAAGAGGATTTGGGTAGGGGAACGATTGAACTGACACGTTTTCATCTGTAGATAACTATAAATGTAGACAATATATGTACTAGAAACACCTGGTACAGGTACAATTTCAATTACATTTCTTGCAATATGACACTGAGGAAGGTGAACAAAATTCAGCACTACAGTGTTTAGATATTTAATTTGGGATCCATTAAAATTCTAATGTCAAGGAAGACAACATCTGAGATAAAATAAAGAGATTATGATACGTGGGCGATTACATAAAAAAATACACTCAATAGCTACTTATAATGATGAACTATTTGCACACAACACAAATTTCAATTACTTCTGGATCTTGATCTCCTTTTAGGTGAGTCTTGAAACACTTTACGTTTGGCCTCTCCAATATTCTTCAATGATGAACCTTGAGAGATACAGAACGTGTTTTTTTTTTAAACTGATATCCAAATATTTGACACTTAAATTTTAAAATTAAAAACTTTTCAGTTTTCCACAAAATGATGTTATTTCACACACACACAGATAGTTAACAAAACTGACTGCCATTTTTATACAAGGTTTTCCAAATCTCACAAACTTTCAAACACTCCCTCTCATTCTTGTCATTGCCCAAAGCAGCACCTGTTGGTTTCTAATACTTCCACAATAAGTATTCTTACAGTGCTGTGAAGCTATTCAAATTTGGAAGATTATAGCTAAATTTGATAAAGTTCATGCAAATGCCGAACTATCTTCTTCCTTCTTTCTCAAGTAAGTTATCCCAAAACCCCTCAAATATTTTGCAAAATAATTGAGACTGTTTATCAAAACCAAACGCTAGACAACAGCAAGAAAAAAATAAAAGGAGAAAAAAAAAAGTATTTGCAGTCTTGTACAATGTCCTAAAAACTTTTGAGTAACACAATAAAATGCCAAATGGATGAAAGTTTCAGAATAAAGTCTGGAATACTTCCTCCTGAGTTGACGATGACATGAGGCAATATACTTTAGGTATATATGAAGAAAAGGTGTAGCACTGATTAAACTTTTTAAACCATTTCCTAACTATTCCATAAAAAAACCAACTCAAATCTTACTAATAGTGACACTTCATCTTCCCTTCCCACCATCCACTTGTAACAGGCAGTGGATGCAATGGCAGCTGCTTATGGGCAGAAGAAGAATGAGAAATCAGCAATCTCTAAACAGTAGAAGGTTTACATATAACAACTTTTCAGAACAATGAGCAAGAAATGTAGACTTCATGGGTTGCGTTTATTGTAACCATTGGCATTCCTTTGCTATTGGCACAAACACCAAGAATTAAAACTGGAAAACAGTGAAAGCTGTTTGCCCTACAGGTCTCAAATATGTGCTTAGTTTAACACCACTATGTATATCAAATTTAGTTAGAGTACACTAGCACAGTTTTACGTTTACCAGAGTCTTCTTCAGATTTGGGAGAGGTCACTATGGCAAACTTTGTGTTATAGCGAGCTTTCTGTTTTTCACTAAGCATGTTCCACTGCGATTCGAGCAATTCTTCAATTTCCTCACTTGAGGCATCTGGATGTTCAGCAACCACCTATACATGCAGAAATAGGGTTGTATTAAAAAAAGTGACCATTGAAAAGAATGGCGTACATACTTCTATTGCTTTGGAAAACTGGATACAAACAAGTTATCTGCTGTAGACAGAACTAGATTAAAACATTCTGTATCCAGTTTTTCTTTGGATAACCACATCTCACCCCCCCACACCCCCCCCGCCCCAATCTATTAGCAGATTCAGAAGTATTAAGAACCATATTGGAAGTATCTAATTGCCTTTTAACATTCAAAAAACAGAGTAACTGTAAATCTTGTCTTGTGGTCATTCAAAAACATTGTATTATTTCTTGATGAAGTTTAAATCTATTCCACAAAAGACAGTCAAGCAACACTGGAATACATGCTTGTGTACAAAGACATCCATCAGTTCACAGGAGAACTCATTAAACATAGAACTCATTGCACCTTTCTTAGCAAAGCGATCTACACAAGCTAGCATCTGATGCAACACTTTTCTGTATTAATTAATCATTTTTACTATCTATATGATATTAGGAACTCAAAAAGCTGTGCATTTCTTCTTAATATCAGCATGACACATAATAGCCATTAACATGGAATTTCCAAGAGAGTTTCTAAAAGTTTATTCAAAACAAACAGAAAATCCAGTATTAAAAACAGAAAAAAAAAATCCTCACAAACTCCTTCAGTATTCCCATGCTTCTACTTAAGGAAAACTAGTTTTGATTAATCATAGAAGTTAGAAAGCTCTACGATTGTGCAATCTACAGAAATGAAACTGTAGCTTTAAAAACAACCCCTCCCATCTCATTTCCAAATCCTATTACTGGAGGTGATGCAATCAAAACCTCAAAATGATGGAGCAAAATAAAAACTAGACCAACAAAGTCAAGTGTTCAAACAGTAACACTATTCAACAGAACAGAAATGAAAATTTTCTGTGATAAGTGGAAATGATTACACCTAATTTCTTACAACTTAGTGTCTTAAAATTGCATTTCCTGTTGTCAAACAAGATACAAATGTGACCGAAGGTTCTCCAGGGGTTAGAATAGTTGTAGTACCTTCCTTCCATTGGGATTATTCAGTGTTTAATCGGGAAATTCATGCTGTAATTTTCCCCCACTACAGTACTAAGAGTTCTCTTGCTTTTAAGTGGCATGATCTATTTGCATAAAGCTTGTAGAATACCACTACCTTTGGAAACCTCTACTTAAGGTTTGTTAAAATCCAGCAATGTCCAAAAAGTTAGAGAGGGGAGAACATAGACAGGCCCACAAGATA